TGATTTACCATGTTTTTGGCACTTTTGCATTAAAGCTATATTTCACTAAAGAATCCTTTGGCTATTCTCTGGTTATATTTCATGAATGTTTTCTAGTTAACAGTTTCCATTTTACTTTGGCATGCTATAATGTTCAAAAGGCATTCACTGGCAAGTTTTATAATCAACATGTTCTTACAGGGTTATGGAGTTAATCAGGGCAACATCAGCGTGGCTTTCCATTAGTTGATCATTGCAATGATTCGCCTTCAGGAATCTGTGCCATGCCAATGAACAGCTTGGAAGGGGCTACTCAATTGGAACACCATCAGATGGATTTGCATCAGGACTTTGAACACTTCTACACAGGTTACAATGGTACAGGTTTCGCTGGGGAGGATGCCATGCTTCATACTACTCCTAGCTATCTGCCAAGTGTATGCCTGCCAGTGCCACCATCTGCATTCTTAGGTCCAAAGTGTGCACTTTGGGATTGTCCGAGGCCTGCTCAAGGGTTGGACTGGTGTCAAGACTACTGTAGTAGCTTTCATGCTAGTTTAGCAATGAATGAAGGGCCACCTGGAATGGGACCGATTCTGCGACCTGGTGGCATAGTCCTCAAGGATGGACTGCTCTTTGCTGCTCTCAGTGCTAAGGCACAAGGAAAAAATGTGGGTATACCAGAATGTGAGGGAGCTGCAACTGCAAAGTCTCCTTGGAATGCTTCTGGTATGTCTTATTAATATTGCTTTACTTGGTTTTAGTGGCAACTTCTATGAGCGGGAACAAAGATATGATATTCTTAACCTTGTGGTCGTGGGATCGAGTCCCACGGAGTAATTCATAATTCTGACTGTCGGAGGTCTTCCACGGAAGCTACTTTCAACCTGGTGTTGGAGGCAGCCTACTACCTTACCTCCCCTCACCCTATTACATATGGGAATAGGGTTAGCTAATTTTTGGTTTTAGTGGCAACTTCTATGATTGGGAACAGAAGATATGATATTCTTTTTGACTTGTGAAATTAACTAATTTTCTCCTGTGATTGCAGAGCTCTTTGATCTTTCAGTTCTTGAGGGTGAATCAATGAGGGAGTGGCTCTTTTTTGATAAACCTCGAAGAGCATTTGAAAGTGGGAACAGAAGCAGAGGTCTTTACTGGATTACAGTGGGCGTGGCTGGCATGAGTCAAGGAAGCAAGTTATGAATGAATTTGGAGGACTGAAGAGATCGTACTACATGGATCCACAGCCACTACACCATTTTGAGTGGCACCTTTCTGAATATGAAATCAACAAATGTGATGCCTGTGCCTTGTACAGGTTGGAATTGAAGCTTGTTGATGGTAAGAAAAATGCAAAGGGGAAATCAGCAAACGATACAGTTGCTGATCTGCAGAAGCAGATGGGAAGGCTCACTGCAGAATTCCCAACTGAAAACAAGCGCAATGTCAAGGAAGGGCTAAAATTAATGCTATGGTCAGTGTCGGAACCCTTATTCTACTCAAAATACGGTGGCACCATCAAGTGAGAAGTTCGATTGCGAGCATGGATTGCAGTACGACTATCTGGTTGACGATTTTAGTGGTTATTATCTAACATAGCCAGAGAAAATGGATAAAAAAGCTGAAATAGCTACACCCATTCATCTAGTTTTATTATATATTTGCTAAAGCTTTTAACTCGTAGAAGTGGCGGGGGGATTCTGCATTTTCTCTAGTCCATTCTGAAGTTGTTAATTACTAGGAAACCAGGTCAAGATCTTATTTTTGGTGGCCATAAATTTGTACAGTACATTTGCTCATAGACGTGCTCGTATTTTTGGAGTTGATTCCTCGATCTAACTTCTGGAGGATGGTGACAAGCAAGAGCAATGGCTGTTTTTTTAGACCATTTGGAAACCTTTAAGCAAATTATATTTGTAGGGTTGTATTCCTTGTATGCCAAGGCTTTCATCTGCTCATGAAAGCTATCTCAGTCTATAACTGAGTATATATGAATGGAATACATCTTTATATCTTGGTGACTAGTTACGAAAATAGTTTATCAACAGAAAATACAAAAAAATATTTAAAATATATAATAATTAAAAAAATTTAAGAGAGGGATAATTGATTCAACCGTCTTTCTCGATCTATTTTCATTATACCACCATTACCAATTGGAGTATAGGCTTCGACATCCCTAATTCATCGTTCTTCAACACATCAAATAGCTTCTCGTTCTTCTTCAACACATCAAACAGCTTCGGTCCGACTTAGGAGCTCAACCATCTAGTTTCATACCTAATTACTCATTAAACAAGATGTAAGCGTTTGGTGTTTTCTATCAAAATCTGCTCTAGTTCGTTTGTCTAGGAGATTACTTCTGAGAGAAAAACATTCTCATATCAACTAGTCAGTGATTGAATTGTAGTCGTATATGATAAGGATCACCTTTCTTTTCATGAAATTCTAGTTTTCAAGAAAACAATCGTGAGTGCAGTTTCACTTTCAGACACAGCAACAATCAAATATATATATATATATTACTTGGTTCTTTTCTGTGCAACTTGGAATATTGTTTAACAATTAGAAAAAGCGAATAAAACCCTTTTATATTTACACACCATTTTTTTTCTCTATAACCCCGCCTTTAAATCACATAAAACATATAAAGCCAAAATCTTGTGGAAAAATTCAAATTTAATCTCTGTTCTTGGGATGGAAGCATATATGTATTGTTTCCCATTATTACGTGCATTTCATGGCGGATTGTGAGAGCCTGCCTGCCTGCGTAACTTAGCAGCACCACAGCAGGCTACCAATTAGGGGTGGGAATAAGCCTGAGCCTGGCCTACGATGATATTTGTAGGCTTGAACCTGGTCTGTAGCTTGTCAAAACTTTTATTTGAGCTTGGCCTGATCTGTTTAAAATCCTGTTCCACCCTAACTACCAATCTATGTTTCGTTTGAGCATTGCAGTATAATTAGAGAAAAAAAAGTCCTCTGCCCACAACACTACAACTATCCAATCAAACCTAGTGTTGACCCACCTAATCCCCCACTTATTGATTAATCCCCTGACTCTTGTTACGCCACTTGTTCTGTTCATGAACTGTTCTCCCATTTCATAGCCTCCTGAATGAACCTCACACATATGGGAGAGGTTCAAAAGTTGATGACCCTGCAACCGCCATTTCTTCTTTCTCCATCTACTTTGTAACTATTCCAAGTTTGAATTTTGGGTTTGAAGGAGTTGTCATCACCCTCACTCATGATTATCAACGCTGATGGTTCATGCAAAAACCAGTTACTTTTGCATATTGTGACGCAAACTAGGGAAATGATTCGATCTTTTTCTTTTTCTGAAACACCCCGACACTTGCTTCGTCAAATCCAAACTGCTCTAATCAAAGTGCACGTCAAATATCTGTACCACTCACTCTCCTTCTTTAATCCAGTCCTCAGGTTCAGACCGGCCAACATTTTTGGGGGCAGCCAGAGTTTTCAGTCTTTAAGATTCGCGTGATGCAATGAAGTTTTTAAAAGTTGAAACAAGTTCTAGGTCGTTTGATATTTTTGGATGAATCCCAAGTAAAACCCTATATCTGAGTGCAAAATTTATTCTATAGACAAATTTAGAAGCCTACATGACATACGCAGTTGTACATTAGGTATCATGATCCTTTTCTCTCATGTTTTTTTTTTGGATAAATCTCTCATATATTTCATTTGTCTCTTTACATTTCTTCTTTTAGGAAAAAAAATCAAAGGGTTGACAATAACATTATCGCAAATATATATATTTACACTACCCTCATAAATTAAATCTCCATGACCCATGTCCCGATTGGTCAGTAATTAATCATTTAAAATCTCGATAATATTTCGAATCATAATATTGAACATTTGAACCGAGTCTTGCATGCATGAAGTACAGCTGCCTTGCATTCATGTATTAGATTCTCAAATCTCAATAGCTTTTTTAGCTTGCTGAATGGTGTAGCAATTAAGGAAGTCAAAGCAGCTTTCAAATTTTCTTCATGACCATCGATGAGGTAATTAATCACTCCATGTATTTGTTGCTGGGTAGGTACCAATTTTAAATGCTGAGTGATGATATTATTATTACTTCCATGCAAAACAATTAAGTGGTTCATATCAACAGTTTCATATGCGCACATTGTAGTGTTATATTTTGAAAACCTAGTAAATTTTTTTAATGAAGTATAGCTATAGAATTTTTGAAAGCATGAAGGCGTAGCTTTAAAAAAAGAAAAGAAAACAAATAGACATATTTTAACTTGGAGAAGTACTCTAAACCCTAAATATAGGAAAAGTTATCAATTAAATCTTCACTCCAACTTTTTTATCTGCAATTCGTTGACACTGAGAGAGGGCTGCATTTGTGAGATTGAAGTATATACAATATGAAAAACTGAGTTTTAGCCTTACTTTCCGAAGTGAAGTTGCAAAGTAAAATGTGAAGTATATTAAAAGTTGGAATACTTTGCAACTTCTATGATTATTTCATGAACAACAAAAGCTAAATAGCATATAGTAATTCCTTACGCATTGCTTAACAAAGAAACTTGATAATACATTTGTCCAGAAAGTGTCTATAGTCCATACTACATACCATCACACACACACACACACATATATATATATATAGAGAGAGAGAGAGGCTTAAGGACTAGTTAAACCTAATTTCAACCTAGAGATTAGACTTAAAGAGAAATGAGGGTACGATCAGAGCGAGAAAAAAGCTTCCATTTTTACATCTCTACACCTGCAATTCAAGAAAACAACACAATGATCAACGAGCTTAGTCGGCAAGCAAACGCTTCCAGCGTTTACACGGGGAAAAAGTCCTAAGTGATATCTTTTATGAATAAACAAGCTTTCACACAGTATCTGACATAAAAATAGTGCATATCCGTTATACCCCATTGCAGAAGTCGAGATAAATTTTCTAAACATACAAATTTGATTACATGCAGAAAAGAAGAAGTTAAAGGGAAGATTTTTCAAAGTTAGTCACCTTCCTTAGATGGAGAAGGGCCTTAATGAGCGAAACAGATAGTAACATCCACCATGTTGAAGGGACTGAAGGGTTAACCCCCACTCGTTCGTGAGAACAGGTTGACCAGAGGAATTGATCAAGATTGCATCATCACCAAAAGCCCCCCTCACGTTGAACGGACCCACCGTCACCTCAAACGCTACATCATTGATAAACACCGTCCATCTACCCAGATTACCAGGGTCCACTGCAGCCGATTCCCCGGCACCTGCCAATAGGGAATCACTCAACAAATAGTCAATTTCCAGAGAGAAACAGGCCATGCACACGTTCGTCCAGAGACCAACGATCCCAAATCCTGGTCCTAAATGATGCTTTTATCCTCTTCCTTGAACATCTATATATATTCCTGTACTAGCCTTTTCTACAAAAAAATATAAATCTCGTATTGATAATACCCAAATTTATGAAAAGAAAAATACCATGAGTGAGTTGGATATTAGATGGAACAGTAATTGTATTACTGGCGGACGCAGTATGAGGAGCAATAGAGTGAGTACTAGGTGCAGTGGTCACAGTACTGTAACTAAGCTGGAGTTGCATATTCGTCTTTTCTTCTTGTTCTTTCCTTGAATCCCCATGGTTTAGTATCTCACTCAACAATAGACTTGTACAAGGTTCAACTGGTTCTTCGGGGATTTGAATCACATTGGTTAGCTCAGAGAAGCCAAACCCTTGTGTAAATCCGGTTCCGGCAGAAGCCTGTTGCATAGGAAAGAAAAAAGGTTCGTTCAAGAACTCGTTCTGAGGCTGATGAAAGTAGGTCTGGTTCACAGGAGCACTTGGAGAGTTGGAAACTTCAATGATATTTGCAGAACTCAAAGAGAGAGTACTGTTGTTGTTGTTAGCTCCTTTCGGTGAGGATTTCTCGGATGAGAAGGATGAAGAGGAAGGTGCAGTGCTGGGAGGGATTTGTTGGTTCTGCTGAGGCTGAGACAGTTGTTTAGAGTTTTGGAGATTGCGCAGCTTGTGTTTGCTTCTTGATTTTCTGTTCTGGAACCAGTAAAAGACATTGGCATCGCCTACTTGGCCATACTCTTGCAGTTGAGCTCTGATTTTCCTTATCTCATCCCTAGGTGGGTTAACCATCCCGGAGTTGAATATTGCTTCCAGTATGCGAATTTGTTCGGGTTTCGGATTCCATCTCGGTTTCGGCTCCGGACTACGCTCTTCGTACCCTACGACTGTTGCAGAAAACATTAGCATACAATAGTATACAACTTGTGAAGAATTAAAAAAAATAAACATTTTTCCTAACTAGGGTTATTCGACATAAAATTATGAACATCAGTTTAAAAGGAGCAAATTAATGAGATAACCGGCGATTTATTTATGTAGGTAAAGACAAATCCATGATGTCTAACGTAGCTAGGAAAGGTTTCAGGTGACAGAGAATTGTTCAAGAACAAGAGCAGAAGAAACCCTGGATTAAGGTTCTCACTTACCGGAGGTGTAAGGAGCTTTTTGGCAACCAGTAGAAATGAGAGACGGGTTGATGTCGTGCTGCAATTGATGGTGTGTGTTGCAGGGCTTGGATTTGAACATGCTAGGCCAGTGTCTATTTGATGAAGACATGACGATGATGATGATAATGGCCAAAATCTAAGTCAGATATCTAATCCAAAGTAGCCAACCGAAAGAGAAAGACAAAAATACAATTGCCCTTTTGTTGTTCTAGGCCAACATATTTAACATCTCTTCTTATAAGCCTCCTCACCTACTCGTGATATTTGTTCTTCCACTTAAATAAAAAGTCATGAGCCAGAGCCATTCCCAAATCCCAAAGAAAAAAAAGAACATTTAATAAATTTTATTTCTTGATAAACAAACCACGTAACTGGCAAAACCGACAACAGGAATCCCCTTGAAGAAGATAAACAAAAAAGGAAATCAAAATAAATGAAAGGAGGAAGATTGAAAGTACTCCCCCATATCGTTCCTTGCAATTTTAAATGTTAAAACAAAGAAAAAAGTTCTTTTCAACTCAAAGTAGGAGCCAATTCCACCCAAACAAGAAGCAAAAGGAAACAAATATATCAATACTTGCTTGGTGTTTAATTCGGATCTTCCATCAATGGCGACAGAGAAAGTGCAGTAAGGTTTGAAGACTCCAAAGAGTAGAGGGGGGAGAGAGGATAAAAAATGGGGCCTTCTTTTTGCTTTTTGCTTTAGAGAAATGGGTTATACTGGTCAGCAACATGTCTCACTTATTTTATGTTTGGAGTTCTCTTGGGTTTGTGGTTGCAGTGTATTAATGGAAGGGGCAGCATTGGATTATTCTAATGGAAAAGGTTGCTGAAGAATAAATAGGGGTGTTTGAAAGTCAAGAATGGGGATGTATAGATTGTAGGGTTATTGAATGGTAAGAGAGTGATGGGAGGGTTAACTGCAAGTAGTGGCCTTATTTTAGGCAAAGTAGAGGGCCTTCAGTAATTGTTTTCCTTTTTGCATCTATGGACTTTCTTCCTCTTATTCATAGCCAATTAAATTGACTAGTTCTATAATTATGTAATAGTGTTGAATATGTCGAAAACATATGGTACTGAAAGAATATTATGGGGAAAATGTGCGGCCTTCAGTTGAATTGTTGGTATGCATTAGCTGCTGATTATCATGGAGGTCAATGTTTATCCTTCAAATTCTCTTGTTTTTCAATTTCTTTTCATACTCGTGCTATGTAGGAATGGCAACAGGTCGGGTTTTGCTCGCCCCGTCCCCAAACCCAAAATGAATCTCCGTCCCCGACCCGATCCCCGATGGGTTTTTTATCGGGGCGCCCGTCGGGGATTTTTTTTGCCCCGTCCCTGAATCCGACCTGAACTGGTTTCGGGTTTCCCTATCGGGTTCGGGTTACTGTGATTGTTTTAAAGTGTTTCCCAAAATATATGTTTACTTTTAAAGTTAAGGGTAAACTACACTTTTAGTATCTAAATTGTCAATTTTATTTTATTTTAGTACTCAAACTTTCATTTGTTTCAAAAGCATGCCTAACGTTTACTTTTTATTTCATTTTAGTAATCGATGTTAAAAACTTAATAGAATTGTATTTTTATGGGTAAATTACATCATTCATCACTTAACTATCTTCTCGCTCCTATTTTAGTCACTAAAATTTAAAAATATTCAATTTAAATACTCAACTTTAAAAATTGTTCCTATTTTAATCATTCTAATTTATTTTATTAACACGAACCAAGCAACCTTGGTGGTAAAGGAATTATTTTTATTTCTTGAGGTCCTGGGTTCGAGCACCAGGAATGCTTGGGGTGTGAAGATTCAATGTTAAATGATTGAGAGTTATCTTTGAATAGATATTGCCCCTTATATTTACCCTAGATTAATAAATAATAATAATTTATTTTATTAATAATTTTATGACTTGTCAACTTTTTTAATATATAATTAGAAAAATTAAATTTGAAAGCTAGGGTGATTAAATTAGGAGTAATTTGAAAGTTAAATAATTAAATTAAAAATTAAACTTTAGTGATCAAAATAGGAGTGATGAATGATGCAATTTATCCTATAAAAGTTGATTTGTGCAATTGACCCGCTAAATTTTTAACAATGATGTACTAAAATAAAAGAAACATAAATGATATATATGGTTTTGAATTAAATGAAAATTTAGGTACTAAAAAGAAATAAAACTGAGAGTTTAGGTACTAAATATGTAGTTTATCCTAAAAATTAAACTTGATTTTTTTTATCTGTAAGAGTGACACGTGAAAAGATGAGCGTTGAGACCGCTCATGCAAAGAATAAGGATTGATTGTTTGGTGAGTAAATTTGGGTGTCGGTCCCTTTATAGTTTTGTGTTTCTTTTTCCATGCACTGCTACTGCTACTGCAGGGAAGCTTTAACGATCCCATCTTTTGATGGTATGTACCAAACTGAAACATAAGTTGTAGTTCTGGCACCTACATCCTTAGTTATTGACCGAAATCATACCCATCACTTATACATAAGGCCATTATCTTTGCATGACTGTGGTTATAGGGATGGGATCTCTGCCGCAATTCCGTACATTGCTTTACTTGCGTTTTTGTTTTTCACGACAAAACTTTGTATTTGCAACGTCGTTTTCCGCTTTCTGCTCCTCTTTTTTGTCTTCTCTGCTTCTACCCGTTTGTCACTGACAAATTTTGAAATGAATTCACTCTTGCCCCATTTTTTTGTTTTTCATATTTTATTTGGTATTTTAATAAAATAATTAAAGATTATCACACACATGAATGTTAAATTTCATTATATTTTTATCAATCTATTTTAATTTTATAAATATTAATATTTTATATAAAATGTTTTTATTTATTGTCATAATAACTATAATAGAATTTTATATTTACTTTAAGTTATGTATATTAGGGGGAAAGAAAAATAAGAGTTAAAAGGTTTTTTTTAGTAAACTATATGAATGATTACCTGGTTATGAGATTGGTGTCAATATGGTTTGCATTAGGGGGTTTGAACCTAGATCACTTGGCTAGAAGAAAAACGCACAAGGTTTAACTATCGCAACAAACTATATTTATCTTATAATATTATTAATGATAGAAAAAAATAAGAAATAAAATCATTCAAATTAGGATTTGAACTTGGGCCAATTATTAAATATAGGGTAAACTACATAAATGACCACATAACTATGGGCTAGGTTGTGAAATGACCATCATTTTCAAATTTATGTCAATAAGATCACTGAACTATTTAAACGGTTGTAATATATCCACCTACGTTAACACTAAACTATCTATGTGGCAGTTAACAAAATTGGTATAATTAGGGCATGTGTCCTTATAAAGTTACCTATTAGTAGCACTGGAACTCTGCTTTATTTTATTCCATTTTGGCCACTACTTGTGTATGATTTATTTCCTTCGATTTTCATTTAAAGCAATTTGATCCTGATTCTATTTTTAATTTGTCGATGCCTTAATTGAGCATTAACTTTTAAATCTTTTATTATAGTCTTGTATTAAATTTGGAGATTAGATCCCCAAGGTTTTTAAATTAATCAATTCGATCACTAATATTAACTTTAATTATTAATTTTTAATTAGGTCCTGATTTCAATTTAATTTAATAAATTTATTTCTCCAATTAAAATGTGACACATGTCATAATCTTATGATTATAATTTGAATATTAACTATAATATATAATATATATTTTTTATCATTAACTATAATATATATATATATATTATAAGTCACAATCTTATGATTATAATTTGAATATTAACTATAATATATAATATATATTTTTTATCATTAACTATAATATATATATTATAATTTGAATATTATATTTATTTGCAATGATTTGATATATATGATCATTAAAAAATAAATATGTGTTGAGTTAATCGATTGACTGAATCGGCCAAGAGGGGGGTGAATTGACAATAAAATTTTTGGTGGAAGCTTTTGCAGAAAATTGAAAGAAATTGCACAGCGATTTAGAGTGGTTCGACTTTATCAACCAAAGTCTACGTCCACTACCTTAGCTATCCACACTAAGGATTTTCCAACAAATTCACTAATTTGTTCTTTCTTTTGAGGCCAAAGAGATAACCTTACAACTCCATCAAGAATATACCCCAATTCTTGAGAACACTCTTTTCTCAAAGAGAAATACAAATTTGTAAACTTACAAGAAAACCTCACAAGGCAAATATGTTTGCACAATTCTAGAACAAAGAAAGAACAGTCAAGAATAAATACAATTGAGCACAATAAGTGTTCTTGAAAGCAAAATGAATATTGAATGAAAAATAGGCTTGAAATGCTCAAACTTGGGGTTTGATGCTTTCTCTTTGATTCTCTCTTGATTCTAATTGCTTGATGTTTCTTGTTGTTGATCAATGGCTTCTAAGCTTGCTTAAATACACCTTGAATCACTTCTGAACGTTGGGGATGATTAGAGAAAATAATATAGCCGTTTTAGTGTGAAAACAATTAATAAAATAGTTTGGAGCGTGGGGGGAATCGGTACCCCCTATGGGGAATCGGTTCCCTAAGTGTAAAATTCAAATATTTCGACCGTTATACAAGGGGGAATCGGTACCCCCTGGGGGGGAATCGGTTCCCTTCGAGCATACTAGAATTCTCGGAGCCAAACCATTCAGGGGGGAATCTGTACCCCTTGGGGGGGAATCGGTTCCCTCTGAGCAATCTGGAATTTTTGGCTTTGAAATGGTTCGAAATACTTTGTAAAATTATTTTGAGATTGTTTTAAGATTAAAACTTAATTTTACACTTGAGTAAGGATTAAAAATGATCTTTGAAAGATTTGGAGTAATGTTTTGATATTCGAATAGTTATATCGAATATACTTAGAAAATCATTTGGAAAAATCTTAAAATTCATTTAACTTAATTTGTTATATCGAAACATCAAAATGTTTTCAACAATCTCCCCATTTTTGATATAACAAAACATTTTAGTAATTTTAAGATTTTGAGATTTTGAAATTACTCCCCCTTACTTTAACACTTCTCCCATTTATCATTTAAAACACATTTAACACTTCTCCCCCTTTTTGTTAAATCAAAAAGACATTTTAAAGAATCTAAACAAGGTTTTGAAATCATTTAGCCAATTGATTATATATAGTTTAAGCTGCTAAGATCACAAGCAAGAGAAACTTTAGCCATTAGTTTCATAATCA